GACCCTGTTGTGAAGGTTGGATCAGATGCCTTTCATTGGCAGAGCGTAGTGGGCGGGAGGGAGTGTAGACCTAGATCAGAGAGTTAAAGTAAGGAGGAGACGTTTTTGACGCTGTTTTGTAAGCAAACAGCAGAGTTTTTAATTTGAAACTGGGAGCCAGTGTAAGGAGATGAACAGAGGAGTGACATGTGCTCTTTTAGGAAGGTTGAAGACCAGTCATGCTGCTGCATTTTGTATCATCTGCAGAGGTTTGATAGTGCATGTACTCTCTCTCTCTCGCTTTCTCTCTCACTCACTCAACCACCCAATCACCATGGGAAAGCAAGCCGGTGTAATACTAAGTTCTTCCAGAACTTTTCACTTTTCAATGCACAACAATCTCATAAAAATCACTATAGGTCCAAACCAAGAAAAGACCTTGTTGGTAGGAACAGCAGGGTTTTTTCAATGTTGTGCCATGCAGCAAAGCAACTGTTGATAGTACCAACAGAGTGCACAACATGTTAATCCACCTTTTGGCGTCCAAATCACTACACCTGCCCATTGTCATCAGTCTCAGTATGTGTAACTTTCCTATGTGGAGGGATAGTCCCTGAACTCAGAGAACCAAGGTCACGGTTTAACGGATGGTCGGCTTTATAAAAAAAATGAACAGTCTGTGTCTTTCATGTGTAACCAAAGCAACAGAGACTCAGTCAAAGCCCCATTTTGTGATTCGTTAACAAGCATCTAATTACAAAAATGATGGAATTGAATATTTCTTAAACCTGTTTGTAGAATGTTTAAACTTTGTCGACTGAGAGCGAGAGCTGAAGGAAAGAACCCAAAGAGAGAAACTTCAGTGACATGTAGTATCCTGAGAACACCACAGGAGGGCGCCATATTTCATATTCTACTCTCTAAACGTGGTAGATCATTTGTTGGTGAGATATAATGTTTATAAGAGCAGTGTTAACTGCGAGAGGTAGCCTTGAATCACCACAGTGTTCTATTCCACTTCCACATAATCACTCATGTTACTGTTTAAACACAGCTATGTGACTTGATATATGGTAATATTTGATCGTCCTTTACCTCTCTCTATGGGTGCCTTGTCTCTGTAAGCCGAAGGAGGAAAATCTGAGCCATCTCATTTCCTGAATGTTTTTGAGGATCTGCACTCTAAAAATAGAGCGTGTAAAGTCTGCTCTCTGAGTCCAGCCGGGTTCAGACCTTCATGAGGATTACAGATGAACGTCTGTAAATGTCTTTCTCAGTAGAGCTGGTTCAGCTTTACACAGTGTTACATTCAGATACACACACACCTCTCTCTCACACACACACACACACACACACACTCACTACGGTCTCTGTCTCCCCTCTACAGTCTTTGAGCCCTGACTCCTGCATACAGCCTCCTGCAGCCCCCCTGCGCTGTGCTCTCACCTCGTCCTTAGACTCTACAGCAGAGCTTCTGTCTGCTCTGAGCTCAGAGGAGAGAGAGCTGCTGGGAGCTATCACTGCCCGGGGATACCCTCTCCGTACCGCCATCATCGCCCTGCAGAAAACAGGCCGGCAGACTCCAGACCAGGTTTGTTTGAATCACAAACCCCCCTCCTCACTGCCCCCCTGGACCAGTTTGGTCTGATAGTCTGGTCTGTTGACAGTAAAAACAATGGACAACACATTGAACACAATGAAGCCAAAATATCCCTGTCGTGGGTGCAGACATTTAAGCTGGTGAGGTGTATCCGTGCCAAAGTTGAACAGTAGAGCCCATGCCACAGTATTCACACCTGTGGAATCATATTTGTGCCAAAAAAATCAAAGTGACACTCATTGGCCCTCACTTATCAAACGTACGTACGGCAGAAAAATGGGTGTGCAGTCATTTCCACGCAAAGTTCGGCACTTATCAATTTGGACGTGAGCGGAGGGTACGCTCAAATCTCACACCACGTCTCAGTTCGTGTACGCACGTTTTCAACTTAGTGTGGACTTGCAGTGCAGCGAATCTGTCTGTCGGAGAATAATTAGATCATACTATAACAGTGCTTGTTAAGACGGATAGATAGATGTTCACAGATTTACTGTTAGATAAGATATCTCAAATGTATTTTATATTACACTCCACCTCAAACGATCTCTGTAGGCTACATCGCTTTTTAAATAATGTTGAGCAGCGCGAGCTATCAGGTGATTTCTTTAGTTGTGTGTTTTATTTGATTAATTTTTGTTTAATCGATTTACTTACTAAGATTAAAGATAAGAGGCTGCTTTCAGTAAATACATGTTAAACATTCATGCACACAGGAATATCACTGCAGAAAATACTGAGACAAATTAAAACAGAAAAACTAAAAACAGTTACTTTAAAAGGCCAGACAAACTTCCAGAGGATAGTAAATACAACTTTTAGCCTCTGAAATATGAAATATTTAGGGATACAGAACATCAACATTAGATCATAACTAATCGGTATGTCCGGAGATTAAACTAATAAATATGCTGATGTGCCACATGCGTAATTGCACACAGCAGGCGCTCTGAGGCCAGAGACTACATGTGACATAATAACGAATAAAGAAATCCGTGGGCTGTAAGACAGAGTCAGGACCTTCTTGTGTTAAATTCTTATGTTTGGAAAGAAGGCTAATCGGATGAGAAGTGCACATTGCACAGCGTTTGATCAAACACTTTATTCATGTGATGCAGGACGTTTCAGGTTTCTCTTCTTTCAAAGTCTCATAAATGGTGAGCACGGAGCCTGTTAGTGCAGCTGACGTTATCCGACACAGATGCAGGTTTGCCTGTACCACTTGTGCCTGATACTGAGGCTGAACCAATGAAGGAAGCCACTCGCTCCACGATCTGGGATAATTTCAGGTGGGGTACTGCTGGCGTCCTCCGGTCTGCTCCGGGAGCTGCTTCTTTTAAGACCTGCAACACTAGGCTACATTGTAGCGATCGTATGGTCTGACCAGGTTTTTTAAACTTTTTTTAAAAAGTATTTTAAAAAATATATTATAGCCTAGATTATGTACGTTACATATCAAATTAAATTAAATATTAAAAACTCTGCTGGAGTTCGGTTATCCACACCGACACTGTTGAGATTTCATGCAGGCTCATTTCTTCTGAAGCTCTTTAATCCTACATTTCAGGCTGCCAGACAACACAATGTTATTCCTCTTTACTTTTCTCTGTTATGATGTCACTCAGGTCATATCTCGTTTCTCTTTTTTGCCGTATTACGTGTCTCCATGCCGTAAACTCTGGGGGCGAGGACAGCTGAGCCGTGAATAAATAGGGGCGTGGTATTTAAATGACTATTTAAATATTTTAACGTTTCCAGCCGCCACACTTATCAACACTCGGTCTTGCGTACGCACGTTTCATAGGTCCCATGTGGACCCTGTTGTACGATGGTAAATGGACTTGATCTTATATAGCTCTTTTCTAGTCTTCCAACTACTCAAAGTGCTTTTACACCACATGTCACACTCACACATTCACACACTGATGGTAGTGATCACTATGTAGTATCAACCATCAGAAGTATCTAATCATATTCATACACCACCACTGAAGCAGCGGGAGCAACTCAGGGTTAAGTGTCATCGGACATGTTGCCCAGCTGGGGATCGAACCCTCAACCTTCCGGTTAGGCGACGACTCTACCAACTGAGCCACTCAGTCGATGATTTCTACACCAAAATCTGCGCTGGTTTCTACACCAGATTGATAAGTGAGGGCCATTGTGATGAAAGTGACAGTCTGACAGAGTGGGAGTCGTCTGTCAGTCAGAAACACGTTTTACATTCATAATGACCATTAATGGTCGTATACGGTTTGAAAATGTTATGGATCCTGTTTTGCTGAAATGTTTAAACTGACAGATGTTAACAGTCTGTTTAAATGTCCGACGGTCCGTTTAGTGTCTTTTTAATGTCCGTCTTTTCTCCGTTATTAAACTCCGCTGATGTTGATAAATTTCACTTCTCATGCAGACGGGGGTGGGTCTGTCAGTAAAAAAGACCTCCTGGAACGTCCGGGGCATTGAGCTGTCACTCAAAAACTCATTAGCCAATGGGTACACAGTCCTCAAAAAGCCCACCCACTTGAGAGATTTATGCCAGAATCGCAAACAAAAAGTCTGATCAGTGAGAAAGAAAAAGAGGGAACTGTAAACAAAAGGACTGATGATAAGAAAAGTAAAAAGCTGATTATTTACACGTTTACACAAATATTTAGTTGCAAGTAATTATTTTTTTTGCTTCAGTGAGATTATTTCTCTCTCAAAGTCTTAATTTTTTGTTTGCAAATTAAAAAGTTTTGTTTGATTTTTTTGGCACAAATATGACTCCATACACATCCTGCCAATTCATCTAACCTAAACACACATTTAAGTTATCCACAAACATCAGAGCTCCAGGTGGGTACAGTCCACAGCAGAACAGATTCTTGTGTCAGTTTGAAACAGACACTCATGGTTAAGGGGAAACTTCAATAAATGTTCCGTTTTCTCTCACTTTTCCTTCTCTACTCTGATAATGTGGTGAACACAGGTGCTGCCGATCATGACATTTTATACAGCATTTGTAGCATTAAATAACTAATCAAAAGAAACTTCCCCAAAAAAAGGGTCTGGGTT